TCTGCTGCAAAACATGTATCCGAAAAATCTGAGCCAGAAATTTTGGTCGAAAGTTCCGTTCGCCCACACAACATGATAGTATCTTAAATAAGAGAACCAAATACAATAATATGCCAACTTTGATTGTATAGGTGTAAATAACGGTATAGCGTCAACTTTCGACGAAATATCGTAGATCCAATAAACGCACAATATACGTATAAAATACATGATTTGTTTACATGAATTCAAAAGTCATACTCATTGTGAAATATAAAATTGAAGATAAGCGGTCACGAATCTGAATCTTGATTGAACAACAGGTGGTTTGAACTACGCCACAACCAGTCAGTAATTGACTATCTGACATTTCAGTCACAGGGGGCGCGCTTGCCTTCACGGCCACTTTAACTCTACGCGGCCGCCACACCCACTTTTCGTTTTTGTTAACGGAGGCACTTTTTAAAATTTGAATTTAAAACAAAAAAATGAAATTAGTTACTGAACCTAGATATCCCAGGTTCTTTCGTGGACGTTAAAACCTACATACCACTTATTTGTGTCCCACTTCACTAGCTACAAATTGTAAACTAAGTTCATAAAACGATTGATTGCAGGCAAGCGATGTCTGACCAAATGTACTAGTATCACATCCATGTATTTGATAATAACATTACAACATCAGTCTGTAACAAAATATGTACCCCCGTACACTAGTAATACACTACATTATAGTGTTCCAAAGCGTCAATCCCATGATGCATGGCGGTAATCCCATAATGCATGGCGTCATTCCCACGGCACTCATATAGTCCATGATACGTCTTACTTGTTTGAACAATATTTATTCACTTGAAAAGACAAACATAAAATTTACAATCATGTTCAGCGGAAGAAAATTTCAGTGTGTCGACCAGTTTAGCCGATTACATAACGAAATAATATAAATCTCGTCCGCTAGCAATTTAATATGTAGTCGGCCTCGGATGCCTGGCGAGTCGCACGTGCCCCTGTGTATAGTAAGTAAGGAATGCCATTGAAGGCAGTATAAGAAACGAGAATGACAACTATATACGCGTGGCTCCAGAGAGCTTACGTCACGGTACCGTTACGGGACTGGAAGTAACAGATATGTAGGTATTTAAATAATTTAATATGTGCTTATACAATCACAATTAATCCAGGATAAAATAAAATAAATAAATAAATAAATAAATAAATAAATAAATAAATAAATAAATAAATAAATAAATAAATAAATAAATAAATAAATAAATAAATAAATAAATAAATAAATAAATAAATAAATAAATAAATAAATAAAGTGATGAGTGGGGATCACCTCCATACTACTCCGTGTACAATCGCATTAGGTGTTTCGTCTAATGTGTGTCAAGAGGTTGTCACGTTTGCGCATGCGTTTTATATATTGATCATTGTGCAAAACATAGGCTTCCAAAGACAATAAAATATCGTGCTGCTGATAACGTCGATTGTGTTAGCAACCGTGGAGATAAATGTAGCAACCGTGGACTAGAAAAGCGGCAAACTACCATAGTACCATAACGTTGTAAGCTGGTTCATATTTCAGTATACACTACGCAGCGGACCGTGCTTTATGTGAGGTATGGGCGTATCTATCCCAGGGCTGAATCATAGGAGGTCTCTACGATAGAGACCACAGGCGTGTGTGACCGGATGTAGGGCGTCGCTACATGTGAGATATTCAGATGCGTGAACGATTTCCCAAGAATATTATGACTTGTATCAATCCAACACCCTGATTCCTGAGCAGCGTTGCAAACTTTAATTTACCAGTGTCAGAATTTCACACAATATGCGGCATGGAAACATAGAAATATACGCCCATATTACGACAATGATATCGTGGATAAATGCCAGGAGTTATGAACACGAGCGGACTGCTTTCGACGATTTCAGAACGATAAATACGCAATAAATGGAACTATTGAAATATGCAGGTAAAAGGAAAAAAGGATACTACTAGTTGATTGGTGTGACTTATTGAGGATGGCGGTCTTATAGTCAGTATTATCATGCAGCTTTGTGTCAGTAAATGGAGCGTTTGAGTGGATAATGTTAAACGTAATTGGTCACTTTGAATGAATTACATTAAAAAATACCGTGCATGCTAATTTCGCTGTATTGCATAGAAGTAATTGACAGGTTCATTGTGATGTGTGCGTGTAAGCCACCAAACAGTTGTCAACAACCTGTTTCTACTATGAAACCCTCTTAACATACCTCTCAGGTCAAACAGCCCCGGGATTGTTAAAATAGACATTTTCAAGACAATTGCCTACATGTGAAGGTATGAATGATGGCAACAATTCGTGTTAAATATCACTAAGTTAAGGGCTCCGACAAATACACATTAGATTCATTGGTCCTGGCCTTTTGTTATTGTAATCGTGCCTACCTATAGCTGTTTGCGCGGTGCACTTGCCAAAAAACGTTACTAGGTGTTTGGAGGTCGGGTCTGAGTATCCAGACCATGACCAGTGCTCTAACCACTGATCTGAACTATATGTTGCCGATCTTAGAAGAGGAATTCCCACACAGCTTGCCAGTGTTCCACTGTCTTCGCAGTGCCTTGCGCGGTGCATGGGGAGAGATTGGGGATATGAAAGTGGATATGTCAGCCACCATAGAGAACCTATCAATTCTGTGTCACACCCCGTCTCTTGTACCGACGATTCAGGGACAGAAAGAATCGTACCTGTACACGCATAGTGTAGACCCGGACGTGGTCAAGTCGTTTATTCAGCAGCCTGGAACAATCGACTGGCATGCAGACAACCACTGTTTTCTGATGACTTTTATTCCAAAGAAACAAGATTTTCTTCCACTGATTCTCAAGGAATGTGTTAATGTTCGTGGGTACCAGGTTCGCGACGAAGGGCGTTGCTGTATGTGTATTTATTCAACAGATACGAAAAAGACAAAATCTACGATACCGAGAGGGTTGAAAATGGGTCAGCTCTCGCCAGTTCATGTGCAGTATGTTACAGCTAGTTGGAAGTTTAGCACTCCTTACACCGTGACGACGATAAGGCGGAATATCGAAGTATTTCCGTCATGCGCCATCTTTGAAGAAGCAAGCAGCGAACCTGTGTGTTGGGCAATGGTCAAGGCGCACGGGGGAATAGGTCTCGAACACACCATGGATAAATACCGAAAGAAAAAATTACAGAAAAGGGTACTTCGCGAATTGGTCGCTCAGATCACAAAGAAGGGAGACATTCCTTTTGTGTTCGTCCAGGAAGACAATGTCCCGTTGTTAAAGGCATATAAAAAGCTTGGTTTCACCGAGGTCATCGACTGTGCTTTTACATGGATTAAATTTAGCAAAAATCCGTAACTACTGCCTCGATAGGATTAATCACTGCCAGTCATCGGTTGAAGAGCACAGACGAAAACTGTATAAAGTACATAACTCTTGCCAATCAATGCGTTTAACTATCATTTAGCCAGATATTTTGATATATGACCATGGAACTACATTATTTGTGATTCCATGGTACGACACAGTCCGGTGTACGCAGCCCATAAACTGTAGACCTTGCCTATTTGAGGAAACGTGGTGGCCATTAAACCCACCTACGCGAACCCTAAAATTAAAGCTACCAGCATTCTTCGGACTTGCGACTCTCTGAATTCTCAATCATTATTAAATACAGTTTATTACAAATTACGATAAATTCTGCGAATACAGCCACCATAGACTGACAAAATGTATATATTGCGTCACGGAACGTATTCTACCACTTGACGGCCTCACCTTCAAGGGCGACAGTCGTCGTACCGCGTCCTGTTCGATATGGAACTCTTATCGACGTATATAACGCGTGTAAAATACATTGTTTATTTACATGAAATTCGAACACGCGCTGCGCGACGACCACCGCGCTTTAAGTACCCGATGTGTGTACGGGAAGCTGACGTATGAATGTAATAGCCTTATTCAAACGGACACACGCAATCAAAGTGGAAAGTCAGGATAAATATATTATTATATAAATATTTGTATATTTATGTATATATGTTTTTTCTTCTTCAAATTATTAACTAACAACGGTAAGTCTGAAGTGATTGAATGTCTACCATATTTTGTAAATTTGTAAACAGTAATTTTTTCATTATTGAAAAGTAAGTTTTTTATACTAGTATATTATTTGGAGATATTTAAGCTATGTTGTTTTTCAAGAGAAATGTTATTAGTATTATAATAAGCAGGAATTTATGGGACACTGTCGGAACAACATTTTATGAAAATATACATTTATGGGGAAATAATATGGTTTAATCAGAAGAATACATATCTATATTTTTTACTGTTTTTATTATTTTATTGCGCACCAGAATTCAATCACGATGTTTTCAGCAATGTTGCTGCTTTTATAAATTTATAAATTATTTTTCAAAATTTGCGGCTCAAGTTTTGAACTCAATCATTCATCTCACTTTCAAAACATATTGTTTGAATTATTTGTACAGGGATCGGAAAGAGTTCCTTTTGCACCTCTGAATTGGGGAATGCTGAATTAAATTGAGGGTAGGGGTAAGGTTGATGTTAGGCATGGGAGGGCCAAAGGAATTCTTTCCAGGGCTTGAATTTTGGTGTCCTGGTTCAACAGACGGCAAGATACACCAAGTACTGGCCATTAGAAACATCTGACACAATGAGGAGATTGTGAATAACTGTAAGATTAGTTGCTTTTCTTTCTTAGTTTCAAAAGTTTCTGTTTTTTGTTTCTATCTAATCTTGGTATTTTTTCTACTATTTCCCTCCCTTCAGAGTTTCTAATGGTCAGCCCTTTATTTGAAATTGTGAAATTATTTCAGTATCAAGGCTTTCAAGTGAGGCATCCAATAACCGCCGTGGAATTCGTGAGTTTCCAGGCCTGCTTCTGATTTGTCATGTTTTTTTAAAGTTCAATCGAATGTTTGAGTACGTGTTTCGCGTATTGCCTAGCTACAACATGTATCACTCTATGCGAAACCAAGTCTGTTGCATATTATTTTGTATTAATAATGATGTTTTTATCATTTTATAAAATTTAATCATCGAGTCTGTGCAAGTTCAGCTTTTAAATTCACTCTTGATATTTCACCGTAATGACGTACATGTGACAACATGAAGCTGTGTCAAACGAACGCGTGACCTTTCACCCAGCCTCACCAATCATTTCACGGTATGCAGCTGGAGTAGGGGGATACTATTATAAAATAGGGGTGGAGGGAATATTTCGCAGATTTTATGGGACGCGCAACACAATTCTACGTAGTGCAATAAAATACGACTTATACGTGGTGTTTGTCTGGAAACTGAACGAGTTTCATAGGTTAGATGGTCGGAGTGACCCAATTCTCACTGGAAAATGGCGGTGACCGATCGGATAGCGGTGAATGTGAACGTTCTGTTGCCTGTCTCGTCGATGCCTCGGTAACAATGGATGTATTTGAATTTATATCTAATTAACATTTCATATTTACACGGGTTTTTATAACGTATATATGTATACTCAGGATATCAAGAAGGTGCTTCAAGAATAAAAGATTTTTCATCTAAGCTTTAAACTATGGTGTTTATTTTTATCACGCCATGTTGTATTCGGTGGTGTACTAGTAGTTTAATTTTAACTTCCGTCCATTGATATGTCATCCACTAAAACGGATGTTAGGTTGGTTGGATAACAAATTAGGCCATAATTATATCTCCTATTGTTTCTAGTATTTGATATTATTTTTCACATACAGGAAATTATTACGTTCTATATACTAGCAAAATAACTATATGTTTATTTCTTTTGATTACTCTTATATTGGTTATAATTACCTTGGAAATTTAATCCGTGCCGAATGTCCCGTCATGCACTGCGACGAGAGGTTCATAATGTTCGTCAATTTTATTAGGATATTAATTGGAGCATACAACAAATTGAAGTCAATGTTGTAAACATAACTTAATATGAGCAGTTATCACAATAATCAGGTTTGTACATTTACTTGTCTTGTTAGAAATAGTATTGGTTTTATATTTACTATTTGATTGGAGGTTTAAAACCCATCAAGATTGGGTGAACTGTTAATAACTTTCCACAAAAATTAACCAGTCAGTCAACAAAAGAGACTGATCGAGTCATGTTACCTCGTAAAATCGCACCACGTGATATCGCAGCACGTTTAATGTCATAAACCACATGTATTATTAATCAAATAAAATAAATTATCGTCTAATGTAAATATAATAATCCGAAAAAAATTGAAATCTGAAAAAAAATTATGTCAACGAACATGTAAATATGAGAAAAAAAATCGGCGGAGTAGGGGGAGATATATCACATTGCGGCGTACAAATTTGTCAGATTTTATCTATTCCGAAACACAACTTGGGACGAGACAGTGTAGCATGACGTGTCTTAATGGCACATTGGATACGTACCTAGCATCATTTATTATCTTTTTTTATTATTATAAAGTTTGAAGAGCTCGTATACTTGTACAAATACCACATACTACACACAAGTTGACGGGGTTTCAAATGAACACAACTGGGGCAGCATATATAATACGACTACATATTATTCAGAGTGTTGTGTTCAACTAAT